TGCCAGCTGAAGCTATGGGATTACTTATATCCTTTAACTAAAGGATGTAAGGGTGTGGCCAGGGAGGAAAAAGGACTAGTAACATTAGTTGACATAAAAACCAGGAAGTGATGTGCTGTAAAATTAGTGCTACAATGATGACAATTTAGTGGGTTTGTTTACAAATTGGTATTGCTGATTGGGCAGGGATGGGTGTCACAGGTCTATTTGAAAAAAAGGAAAAGGAAGATTTTAAGAGAAATAGTATATTTGATCTCTCAGTATGTAGGAGAAAGGATATGATAGGCTGAGTGTGTGAGGGGGACCCTAGTAATACTGAAACTATTAGCATGGACAGACAAATAATCAGAAAATTGTAATCTAACCAGTCTATCAGTCACCACTTTTTTTTTTAAGCACTGAAATGTTCCCTCAAAGCAGAGTTTAACAGGAGGGTGTCTATACTGCGCTATCTGAACAGAGCAGGTTCTACACCAGAATAACCCTGATGATTTCAAGGGGCCATTTTAACAGAGATCCAAATCTGAGCTCAAAGAAAGGCCATACAAATGAGAGTTTCTCTATCTGTAAATGCAATCCCATGCAATCTTGTACTGAAGTGGGCAGTGCTGCTCTCTCCTACTTTACCAATGTAGGGCAAGAAACAGCTTTATAGAAATGACCCTGCTTGAAGAGTGACACAGAGCTATACAAGCACACATGGAGCTCAGCGGACATAAGTTCAGTCTGACTTTGCTCTGTTTAGGAAGAGGCATTAGCATGTAAAAATAATTCTCGAGGTGACCATAGGGCCCTGCTTCTTCGTCTAGCAGAAGACACTAATTAAAGCAAATGGTTACCCATAATCCCTAAATATGTTTTATTATTTTTAAATCTGTAGATATGTAGATACAAAACTTGCAAAGAAGGGTGCAACCAGTTTCATATTTAGGTACTGGAGGTTGAAATGAATACTGATTGATTGCTCCTTCTCCTGAAACTTCAGCTAATAATAGCTATTAACTTTGCTTCAGATAAAAAACAGAAGAAAAAGCAAACTAAGTCAAACATGAATTGGGAAATGTGTTTGTGCTAGTAAAAAATCCCATGTGGTCTGAATAGTGTTTTATAAAGCCTGGGGAATATCCTCAAGATGTCATCTTCAAATGCTACTACTTTGACTCTCCTGAAGATCTCCCTGAAATTCCCTGTTATTTACTCCTGTGCACAGAAAACAGTCCTTAATGGTGGATGCTCTCCAGATGCTTTCTAAGAACCTTATGCCTTGCCAGTAACCTTTTCTGCACTGTCAAGAAATCTACAGTTTCAGGCAGCAGGCAGCTCTGAAATCTCCCGGGTCCTAATCTAAATGTAGAACTTTATTAATCACTGAGCACACTAGTCTGGGTTTGCTGGTCAAAACAAAACCGGGCATTCTGAAATGCTGATTTGTTGACATAGGCCCAACTAACATTTCAAGAAAGAGCTGTAGAAATAGTTGGAAAATGTTTTCATGCATCTGCAGCAGCAATCACCTGCTTTAACCTATGAAGAGGGCCCCATTTTGAACACTACTTTGTAAGAATGTTTTCATGGCTAATTAAGACAATTAGATTTACATGAATGGTCTGGAAGCAGGTGCTGATAGATATGTTGACGAGTTATATTTTGTAGTCTCTCACTGCATTGCACTTTGCACTTTGAGGTGGGTGACTGACACTCAAATAGCACTGGAATCTGCTCGGGGCACTTTGCTACCATTGCCTTCCCAGACAATTGCCTTTTAAAATGTAGGTGGAAAGATCAAAAGCGTTATTACTGTAAAAATCACTGTGAAATTAAAAGGGATAGGAATCAGTCATTTGTGTAGCAGGTTCTTTTCATGTCTGTGCATAGACATGCCAATTATGGTTCTCTTTTCTCAGTCAGAGATGTTAACCTGTGCTGCTTTTATCTTGGGATCCCTGCCCAGGTTTCTAAAGTGATTTGTGGTCATTTGAGATCTTACTTCGTTTTTGTCACTCCTTCCTGGGAGGAGGAGTGGCACTGATGAGAAATGTCTTGCTATTTATAGACTGTCTCAGTGTTACATCTCCTGCAGTTATATAGAGGAGGCAGCATACCGACTATTTACTTTACTTTTAGACCACCTATCTCTCAGCCCGAGTTTATCACTATGGACTTGCTGCTGAGAATTTTTGTCCGATTTCTTTTAAATGACTTTTTTACAAGTGCATGATACTGATCAATGGGGTTTTGTCCAGCCCTTTCTTTTGATGCATCCCTGGGGGTCCTTGTTACTGAATGTTTACTCTGACATGGCTGGGTGGGAATTGGGATCCTTTTAAAGGATCCAGAGCATGGAGTGCGGCTGGGGGCTTGATGCATGCCTGTATCTTATGCATTATAGGGGCAGGATGCAGCTAGAGCAAGTGCTCGCGAAAGGGAATTGGGGCTTGCTCCTGGGTACAGGAGGTTGCTACGCTTTCTCTGTCTGACTTTAGTTATCCACCGAAGCTTCTCTGCTACATTTATCACAGTTATATTAGCTCATATTTTTGGCTTTAGTCAGATTTTTTACTGCATTATAGGAGAGGATCTGATAAACTGCAAAGTAAAAATGAACACTTAGCTCCTTTTTAAATGCTCAGTCTGAACTCTATTAGTCTGTTGATAGAGGGCATTCAGCTCCAGAAATAAAGTTGTGAAGTACTTGGCTAAAATTCTCTTAACTTCCTTAAATTTTACTTGATTCAACCCTGATTCACTGGTAACATCCTAGAGTTTATTGTAACAGTAGAGGTGAAATCCTCTTGAAGCCAACAGGGAATCCTTTACTGAAGATTTTTATACTAGATACCTCACTGTGGCCACTGTATCCCAAAAATGTGTCATCCTCTGGCATCTTCAGTGGAGCAGGAAATACCGTGGGGATTTCTCAGACTGGAGGGACGTGCGGGGCAGTCTTCCCCTGAAATAGCTAACGAGTATGGATAGTTGCCTAGCATTGACTCTGTGCTTGCTGATGTTACAAAGTTGTCCTGAGAAGGTTTGTTGGGAAAGGGTTTTGTCAAACCCAGGCACTAGCGTGTCCGTTCCCTCCTGGGTGGGAACAATTGGTGGGACACAGCTAAAGAATGAAGATATGTTCTGCCTATCTACTTGTGGTTTACAGTAAAATGAAGTGGGGACAAAGCTTCCCCTCTCCTGAAAGGGTGATCGACACCTTTGGCACCGTTGTGAGCTTGCCAGTGAGCTCAGTAAAAGCAGTGCCTTCTCTGAAGGGAACGTAGACTAATGTATTTGGATTTATCCTCCCCACCTATAGATTTTTTTTGAGCTCCACCCAAAACACCTCATTTTTCCGCTTTATGCAAGCTACCAGACTATGAGCTGGGTCAGAAGGGACGCAGATGGTGCATCCTGGTCTGATGCTACAGGTGTGGTAGCCTCTGGAAAAAGGTAAGGCAGAACACTGTGACGGCAGCTGTAAGTGTTGTCGCAACTGAATCTGCTAGAGCTGTAAGGGAGCGAGGAATCTGGCTTCAAACAAGGAATCTGATTTAATTCTTGTGTTGTTTCCATGTCTGTATAATCTTCTCATCTCCCATAGCTGTGCCTGGGAGAACAGAAAACCACTCTCAGGTTTGGGACCTGACCTGTATGATCTCTGGCTTGTGCTTCTCAAGCTGTGAATTCCTCCTGAATGAATTGTACCTCTTACCTTTCTGTGTGTGTCAAACCAAAATAAGTGACGCATAACCTCTAAACAAATGCATTTTGTTAGCTAGGCCAGCGGTATGCATAGTAAGAAGCAATGCCTGACTGACACGTGCCCAGCAGACAAATTTCATCATCATTTGAATTGACTCAAACTGTAGCCTGTGCCTCTGTGTCAAGGCATCTCATGCTAACTGAGACCTGTTGAGAGAACAGAATTAACTTATACAATGAATTCTTACTAAAATAAAGGTAATACCAAAGCTTGTATTCAATATCTAATTAAATATTTTCCTAATGCAGCATACCCATCTATAATATGTGAAGCCTGACTTTAGTGTCCTGGGAGTAGGCCAGTAAAGAATAGCATTACAAATATTTATTTACTTCTCTTGTCCCTCACTGGCTTTATTTTAATGGATGTGCAAAACAGCATGAAAGCTACAGGGGAGAAAAAGCCCCCCAGGAAACCCTTTGTATCAGGATGAATTGGAAAAACAAACTCTAGGGTGCTCATTTGCCATGAATCACTTTTCACATCACGTGCAGAAAATGAATGAGGCGTCTGTGAATCTAATTCCCTTTGTCCCAGTTGTAAAGCAGATCAGCACAATAGGAGAGGCACAAGGCCAGCAGAGCGAGAGGTGGAAAGCAGGCACCATTCAGTTAATTCATTTTCAGTCATTCCAGTGTGGCTTGCTCCTTTTCTTCTCTACACATTTAAAGAACAAACAAAACCCTATGGTCCCTGGGAAATGCCTCTGTTAAGTGCTGCTGCTGAAGTCTTTCTAAGCACAGTGCAATGGTGGAGAACATGAATCCTTCCCACTGTCACGCTGCGTCCCTTGTCACTCCAAGTTGGAGGACAGAAGGCACATCACCACAGCCTTGCCGCATATTAGGAAAACAGAAGATCAGTGCATTGAAGAGTCTGTGTCATCCCAGGGATAAAAAAGATAAAGATCTAGGGTCTTACTCTTTATTTTTTAACTTAACTTCAAGATAAAAATCCTAGTCATCTCTTTCATGCTGAACTGGATTTTTGACAGCTGGTTATTATTCTGAATTAGGTTACATTATTTCCTCTTTATTATCTTCTGTCTAAATACAGTTAGATTTGTGTGTGTGTGTGAACCAAACCAGCTATATTTGAAAGACTGAAAATATTCTAGCTGTGAAACCCAGTGCTGGCTTGGGAGTGTAACCCTTCCATTCATTGCCTGGCTTATAAGCCCCTCTCGCTGCACGAGAACAACTTTGCTGCCCAGCTAAAAGGAAAATGGAAATTTTAAAAATCTCACCACAGCTTTTGTAATGTATTTCCAAGTTGTCCTCTTTGCAGACTGTGTGCGTAGGCCATTCTGTGCTGGCATTGATGTAATGCAGGACTAAGATGAGAACAAGGACATTTGATGTCTTCATGGTGGTGGTGGTAGTTTGCAGGATTACTTCTCCGTCTCTTGCTAACCCTCTGTGGAGGGAGGTGTTCCTTCCTTTCTCCAAGGGAGGCAGGAGCTACCACATTCGTGCTTGCAGAAGGCTTAAGTGAGCCAATGCAGCCTTAGCTGCCACAACGTGGTATAAACAAGAGGCTGATCAGAATTGGAGGGCGCTATTTGTGTGTGCTTAGACTTCTGCTTTCTGCTTCATGTTAGTTTAAACTAATGACAAATGAGCTAATCACACCTACTCACTGCACGGCAGAGCCCTGCCTCGGTGCCTGCTGGAACAATGCAGCAAACTGTTTAGTTTTTCTCTCGCTGCCAGTTTCTTCTCTTGAAGTCAAAGCATTTGAGTCAAGACTTCAGACGGGCTTATTTAGCTCTTCTGGCTGCAGAACATTGCAATCCAAATTGCCCCATCGTAATCACACAAAGTCAGACCAAATTTTGCAAGGCCAACAGTTTGGTTTCTATGTTCTTCTTAGTAACAAATCTGTCTGCTAGAGGGAAGGTAGGTGTATCTGATGAAGCTGACACCAAATACGCAAGCCTTGAAACTTTTTGGAATTAATCCTTTCTGCTAAACTATGTTAAATACTGCATTTACATTCATTTTGTTCAATGGTTCTTAGGAATGTACTATTTAACAGTATACCAAATCAGGTAAACCTAGACTTAATTTTTTTTTTCCATCTTCCTGGTTATTTAACTGCCCACTAGTGACACTGAGCGCTTGTAATTCGCACTAGGGTTTTTTAAAGCTGTTTTCTGCAAAAATTAGGGGCTGTTGCAGATGGCAGGGAATGATCAGTAAGGAAAGGAGGGAAAGTTGCTGCATCTCTGGTAAACTTCTCCAATTCAGTTTAAGATCCAGGATTGGAATAGAATTTCAATCTGCAGTTGCCAAAAAGGTCTTTCCTGGACAAAGCACTAACTGGAAAAAAGCTACAAACTAAATTCAGCCCTAAAGCAAATGTCTGCAATAGTCTTCTCTGAGCTGTCGACAAGGAGAAATTGGCTCTGTAGCATGACAGAGTTGGATAAAAGATCACTTTGGCCATCTCAGCCTTTCTTGCTGTGAAGGCTGCAAGTATCATTTGTTCTGCCACTGAGTAAAGTTGAAGAGGGGAAAACCTATGTACTTTAGCAAACAGGAGAACACCTAACAAGATAATTATGAAATAATGCTAAACAGTAGAGCTGTTCCTCGGGCAAAATCCTGACCTGAATGAAGGTAATAAAAGTAACCCCATAGATTAAAGAGGGAGCCAAGATTTCAACCATGATGTATTAAATTTAAAAGCCAATTCAATGCAATCCAAGAGACCTTGCTTTGAATAATGAGGCCTGCTTCATGGTTTTTGGATACTATCGTAACGGTAAATTACATGTTCAGGGCCAGGGTGAGAATCCAAACAACTGTCCTTAGGCATGGAACATGTATGAGTCACGTAAAGAGATTTGGGTTACAGATCTGCCTAGTTGGACGGGACTTTGGTTGTACCCAGCTGATAGTTGACGAAAGCAAGCACAATTGCAAAGTGAATAGTAAGGAGAGACAATGTCTAGGATTACAGTAAATACATTTAAACTAGAATCACGTAAAGTAAAAGTCCCTTCCCACTAAGGTCTACAAAGACAGTGAAAATTGGATATAGCAATTTATTACAAAATACAAAGTACTTCAGATCAGGACTGTGAGAACACAACCTCCAGATTTTTTGTTAGGAATGACATCATCGTGGTCCTTCATTTAAAATATCAGCTTCATGCTCAATAACAATGAACAAAGCAAATCAAATGATGGGGCAAATGCTTCAAAGAGAGACCCACTGGGGATCACTAAATAAACCAAATCAGGCTCAGGATCTCTCCTGAAATGAAAATAATTGGAAACTGGGAAAATACATGGGAGAAATACCATACATGCTTGCCCTGCTCTTACTCTTCTCTGCGTGCCTGCTTGTCCACACTGCTGGGAACAGGCTACTGGGTTAAATGGAGCCTTGGTCTGGACTAGAAGGGTTTACCTGGACACTGGGCTTGTTCTTTACCTCCCCTTCCCTCTGCTCACCCCATCCTCTTGGAACAGTGTTGCTGGTGCTCGTGGCTTTCGAAGTGCTGACTCAAAGCAGTCCTTCATCTTTGCAGATGCCCTGTGGTAGCTGCTCTGCAGATATCCAGGAGTCTGGGCCTTGCCTTGCAAAGATTTCAGTCTAAGCACAAGCAGACAGCCCAGGAAAGTGGAAGAACACCGGACTCTTGGGATACAAGTCTTCCTGCTTCACTGAAAGCAGGATGGCTGGGGTAGATCTCCTAGCAGAAACCAAATACGACTCTGCAGATGAGCTCAGGAGCTCTGGTGTGCACAGGCAAGTGCCTGCACCGTTTCCCCGTCTGGTGCATAGACTCTCTCTTGCTCTTTTGAGACAGCTACTTCATCTTTTTTTTTTTTTTTTTTTTTTGGCAGTATTCCTGACACTGACTCAAAATGGCAAGTCACAAGATTTTTTTTTTTTTTTTTGTGGGTGCGAGGTTGGAAAGTGTGTCTCAAGTAGTTTTTGGGTAGCCAATGTTCTGAGGGGAAACAGCCACAATAGCTAATGTTTTGGAAAGTTGCGCTGTCACTTCCACTTTGCCCCACTGTGTTGTTCTCAGTGGGAAGGGAATTTTACTTTGAGTGGTTCAAGTTTACAACGTGCACTCCAGACACTGTTTCGCCATTTCATTCCCTGTGTAATCCTTGTATCTCCTAGAAAGAGTTTTATTACCAACTCCATCTGTTCTGAGAACTGCTTTCTCTTCAAACAGCCGAAGCCTGTGGGATGAGAAACTACATCTAAATGAAGTGATATCAGTGCTGGCAGTGGGAATTCTGTTTTGGCAGGTTGCTTAGCTGGCCAACGAGTGTGTTTCTTTATCTCTCTGATTGAAGGCTTTGACCATGGAGATAAGCAGCTCAAAAATGCCTGTAAAGAAAGCTATTTACTTAAAGAGGGGCAGTGACTTCATATATCTAGACCACTCTTCACCTTGTTTGGATACTTCTGCAGTATTAAAGAGTAGAAAAGCCTCTTCTTCCTTATGAAGAAGATTATTATATCTGTAATATAATTGGGAAGAGTAAAAGATACAAAGATAGCAGACTAGTAAACAGATAAATCTTACATCAATGTCTGTGACTTCTTGGGTTGGCTGATACAAGACTGCTGATATAATTGTGTCAGCAAATCACACCACCCACCCACTCCTCCCCCGGGGGAAGTAGGTTGTACCACTAGCCTCTCATACCTATAACCAATAGCCAGTACCAGCTTCTTGGAGAAAGTATAGCAATAAACAGGTTTTTTTTGGTCGGGCTTTTGTCTGGTTTTTTATGTTCCTTGTTACTTCAGGGTCCAATTCTCCCCTTTTAGATTGCAGTCAATATTGAGTCATAACTGATTTAATAGGCAGCAACATCTATTGATTAAACAACATACTAATAAGTAGCTTAATTACAGATATACTATTAATAGATATGCTGTTACCGTTAATTTACAATTGTATCATTTGCACAGTTACAACCAAATATAAAACTCATTCTCAGATCTTATAAATCACACCCAACTATTTTATTATAGTTCTGCCACCCTTCCCACCCACACTACTTGGTGCCAGAGTGCAAGCCTGTCCCTCTTTACTCACCCCCACTGAGTCTTTCAGGGACGGACCTGATGGAGAGTCACATGGGTTGTCCGCAGGGGTTGCCTTCAGTGTCCTGGTGAGCTTGGGTGCACAGGTAGCTTCAGTGTTGTTTGTAGGTGCCTGCACTCCTACTGTTAGAAGATACCACCCTCTTTTTTTCTTTACCTGATTTTATGTCTTATTCCCCCTTTTTTCTGTTGCAGGACCCATCTTCTTCCTACCTCTACCACCTCCCTTTCTTTACCATAACTCTTTGCAAACAAGCAATGCACTTCTTCCCCCTGCCCCC